ATAGAAACGACCTTTTATAAATCGATTAATTAATTATTTATTTAAAATAACATATGGATAAATGTGTATAAGGCTATGAGTCACATATTTCACGGCATTCAGTCGCCTAAGTAGCCGCATCACTTTAGCAAACTGAAAACACATGTTTCCTCATTTGGACTCAGTTTTATAAACAAAATGTACTCGGATTCATCGCGTGTGTGATTCGCGGTCTGTGGTCGAAGGCGTAAGAATGTAGCGGTGTTTTATGTTATAATTATTTTATTTGTTATAGTTATAATTACTATTTTTTTGTTTGTTTCGGGAACAAATATATATGTATAGGTTCATTTATTGCTAGTCTTGAACATTTTAAGTTATTTTTGTTTTAAGCATACTATCACCTCAAATTCAAATTCAGTTGCGTAATCGAATATTTTCGAGTGATCCTTTAGTTAATAACGATGACAGCATGCATCGTTTATGTCACACAATACACTTATACGGAATAATATCGTTATAGTGATTTATGTGGACCTACGCAACGTCATGTGATATTTTTATTCACGAAACCCCAAGAGGACGCTGGCATTCGCGTACCTTTTTTTTTTATTCTATTGTGTCGCGAATAACCACGATTTAAAGGTTAATTTGAGCAAATCATTTAATTTCAAAACATTTTTAAGAACAAGCTTTTGTCAGATGCGGCTATAAATCTCAGAACTAAACATTTTAGAGATATTTAGAATAGCCATTCAACTAAGCATTACTTGTCCTGCTAACTAAACGTCTATACAAAATTTCAGATCAATCAGTTAAAGATATATTCCTATCCTTAAATCCCTAATAATCCACAAAAGGCCGGCAACGCACTTGTAGTGACTCCTCCGATATCACGAATGTCCAAGTGTGGCGCGAATCGCTTACCATCGGTTAAAGCGTACCTATGCTATTTTGCCGACTTATTCCATAAAAAACATGACATATTAGAAAATACAGAGATTGTTTTTATAATAACTATCGTGAGACATACTAAATTAAATAAAAATCGGGGGTCACACACGTGTAAATATTGAGAAAAGCTCTAGTTCTAGTTTCGAACCACAGAGGGGTTCTTCCTCATGAGCAGCGTGCGCGGACGCGGCGAGAGTTACCCGCGATTTTTAGTTAATTTAATACAGAGATTTTTTCGTTGGGAATTAAAATGAATGTATGTATGGCTAAATTATTTTTGCTTTATTTTTATAATAACTATCGTGAGACATACTAAATTAACTAAAATTCGCGGGTTACTCACGTGTGAACTAGTAGAGCTTTTCTCAACATTCACACGTGAGTAACCCGCGAATTTTAGTTAATTTTTGCTTTACTTAAAACATCTGGGTAATCTCTACCAACATCTATACCTAAGGCCAGAAAGGTCACTAGGCCCTTTTTATTGAACTCCCGGCCAAAGTAAGTGCGAGAGAATCAGACTCTTGCTGGATTCTACTACCCCGTTACTTCTTCTCCACCGAGGCGACCCGTGATATGTCATCATTACCCACAGCCAACAATTTGATGATTTTCCACACCAAAAAAAAACAAGTCACGAATAGGTACCTATACTATTAATTCATTAACTTTTATCTAAGGACACAGTGCACTGAATATTGTAATTAGGCCAAGATTGCATTTAATTACTTAGTATTAACGTATTCCGTCCAATCAGGGCGATCACACATCATGCATAAATAATAGTTCATTATGTGATTATGAATCAGCTCGTCCAGGGAGCTGTCATGCAAAGTCTTGTGGCATTATAGGTACCTTTTCTTTTTGAAGGAGAAAATTCGCCAAATAACTTCTCCCATCGCGAGTGTAGCAAAAGAAAGTGGCAGAGTCTGACTGACTAAAACCCACCCTGTTGCTTAGCAGTCCGGAGTCGCAGTGCATTATGGCAACCCTGACGTCATTATAGATATTTAAAATAGAACTCAAAATCATGAATATAGTATATATTGCCAATAGTTAAAAAGTTTAATTACAAATTATTTTAGCTAATTCGGACTTTATGAATTTTCTTTTCTTTTATGTGTAGTACCTATTATTTTATCTTATATTATGTATGAAATGAATATGCTATACGTCCGTGTCGCTAAAACGGGAGAACGGCTGTAGCAACTAGACTAATTTTGTCCTTGTAATATTTTTAGAAATCCAAAAGGAAAGGTGTAAAAACATAAAAACTAACTTTGGCATCCGTTTACATTCCTACCGCCATCTAGTAGAGACAGTTGAGACTAAAATGTAGGAATATTATGGATACGAATACGAATATGAAATTATTTCGGATATCTGATAGTTTCGGTTACGGTTACGGAGCTCTCTAACACCCCTTCTTAAATTCACCAAAATCGATTTTTTATTATTTTTATGTACATTTAAAAGTGCTCTTAATTCAATTTAAACGGATTTATACAATAATGTGGCTTCATTATAGCTTCTGAAGTCACAGTGAGAAATAAAACCTTAAACTTCGAGCACAAACGGCAAACTAAATAATTTTCAGTAAAGTTTCTTCGAGTCAAACGAAAACGGTCACAAGCCAAGTCTTGTACAAGTTGAAACTTATAAGTTACACAACTTGTAACATTAAACATAAGTTTAACTTAGTCGTTCATTTACTATTATTATAACAAGGTATCTACGAGGAGCTAAAAATAACTGATTTCGTCTTTTGATTTCGACTTTCATTTTAGTTCATTGTTGACAACGTCATGTTCTTTTTAATCCACAATTAAAATGACGCCATAATACAAAATGCATAGACAACTAACTGAGTTTGACAATTCAAAAAAATATAATGAACTTGAATATACTCGGAATTTTAATACCATTTCAGATTTGAAAATTTCAGTGTCGCAACGTTATGACAAGAACTAAATAGTGACGTTGCAAAATCATTCGATATGGAAATCGAATATTTTCGGATCGATTCATCTCGTTTATAATTTTACTCTCGTAAACAAAGTATATCAGGAAATTAAATATTTCTGAACCAATAATTTAGTTTTGACGACTAATTATCGATAATAGATTATATAATCTGTTTTATTTTATAAGAAACTTACCTATTTCTTGTGCTCCACCTACCTACACTAATATTTTCTCCTGTGTCATGCGTGAGTCACATCCAAACCTGGAGAAAATAAAGAAGAATAATTTGACTACCTCGTTACCGGGTGGTATCTCGAGTCAGCAAAATAGTGTTCGATTTTAGCAGTGACAAGAATAAAATTAAGTAAAATATATTAAGTAATTGTATTTCAAACACCACTTATTATACTATTAATTTTCCACTTCAAATATCTATAAATCATCATCATCATCAGCCTATAAGTGCCCACTGCTGAGCAAAGGCCTCTTCTCATACGGAGAAGGTTACAGCATTAATCACCACGCTTGCTAATATCTATAAAAAAAAATGTTTATTTTCTTCCTTAATTTAGTATATTTATATGTATACACCTACTCTCTTTTTTATGTGATAAATCGGCAAACGAGCTGACGGATTACCTGATGGTAATAAATCGGCGCCGCCCATGGACAACCGCAACAACAGAGGAGTTACAAGTTTATAGAAAAAAATGCTGCTCAAGTATATAAAATATTTGGGTGCTGAATGTCACAATTTATAGAACGGGGTGGTTTTTTTCGCTGTAAGAGTCTAACACTCCTTCTCGCCTCACCTAGGGCGGACAATTTGATTCGATGATTTTTGTCCCCTCAAAAAAGCTATAATAATTAAATACTCATAACAACCAATAGAACTTACAACGTAAAGTCGTTACAGTTATCTACTTATCCTTCAACGAGCAATTAATAACATCGACTTTTGTCCAACACTGTTATTGTTTTATTGTTGTCACAGGAGCATAATTGACCTATATTATAGTTGTATTAATAAGGTTAAAAACTGTCAACTGATATGGACTGCAATAAAATTAATATTAGGTATTATTCGTTTCAACGTTTCTATATACATAATTATAACTTCGCACACCATGTATGTATATAGGTACCTAATATACCTTTTGTGGTTAAACTGACGAGGAAGACAAAACTGCAACAAAAATGTAGTTACAAGGAAAATAAAATCTTCTTTAGAATACAAAATGCTGAATGCAATACTTTTAGTTCTGCTACTCGACAACAGATGGCGCGCTAGTCCTGGCGCTTAGTAGTGGAGCGGTGTTTAACTGCAACTGAAATGTACACGCGGCTTCCTAGATGTCGCTACGAGTTCAGTTGATAAATTTTTAGATAAGAAATAATCCATTTATTTTTATTTTTATTCTCAACAATAACAGTCAAATATTTAATATAATAAAATACATCGGTTTATCTGTAACTTAAATAAAACACACCGTATTAACTCATAACAATCTCTTGTTTACAACGGCGATAAAACTGTTTGTATACCAAACATCATGTCAGTGAACTCGCTCAAATAAGAGCGCTAATAAGGGTAGAAATTTAACAGGCAATACTTCCCAAGGGTGTTGCAATTTGTCGAGTCATTTACTGTGGACACATTTAGATCTGTTTGCATGACCGTAAAGAGTCCACGCCCTTACCATAACCACCCACCCACCTCCACCAAATTACTTGGAGCTCTCGCGCCCCCTCGCGCCGTTCAATTAAACAACGACTAGGGAATGCTCCCTAACAACGTGATGTATCTTTGCAAACTGGTCGAGAAGAACATTGCCCACCCATTGGCAGGTGACCACGATCACGTCACCTTCGCAATGGAATCGTAATCGTAAAACTTGACTAGTTTTCCGCGGGCTCCGCCACGGGGAACTACCCTCATTTACTCCCTTGCCAGTCCATTTAACTAAAAGGCTCATTTGAAATATACAAAATGATTTGATGGCGTTTATTTGGAAATGAACTGGAAGTCCGGAAAAATATTGAAGAGAATAAAGCGATTTTTTGCGAAACGATTTTATAGAAGAAACAAGAAAATCAACAACATGAGACGACGCAGAGAATCTGTTGCTTCAGTTTATCGGAAAACAACAAAATTCTTAACATCGAACACGGCTAACTTTCTTAAGAAAAAACCGAACAATAAGAAAAATCAGATTCTAATGGAAGTTGAAAACTGTGATGACAATGGCGGAGAAAATGTAAACAACATTGATGAAGCTAAAACTGACGACGACGATATAGGAGAAAGAGACCTCGACTACTATCTTGGGGTTAGAAAGAGAGAGAGCTATTGGCGAGATCCGGCTGGCAAAGAGCAGATAAGGAAAGACTACCTTGTCTATCATTGTGGTATCACTGAAGAGGATTACGATAAAAATTACAAGAAAACGATAGTTTCTAAAGTATCGTATGTTATACAACCAAGATTGAAGCAAGTACCATTCAAGATTCATAGAAGGAGAAGAAGGAATGGGGACACAAGGGATGATTCGTGGAGAGAGAAAACTGGGATATTCAAATTATTTATGAGACGTGATAGTGAAAATTCTATGTCAGATAGTTACAGCGAATGTGATTCTAATGAGGACAAGATTCCTGAAAGACTACGGTCCACTAATGAGGATGATATGGAAGATATGATGGGATATATAAACGAGTTAGATGCTTGTGGCTCTGGTGATAAAGATGAGGTTCGTTTGACAATACTACACAGGACATACGACTTTTATCAAAGTATATGGGCATAGGGCATTTGTTGACCTAATTTATTTAACAAAGCATTTATTCAAATTCATAATATGTTAGTATAGTTTTTAGAAGTACCACGAAAGCAACAGTCTCATTGCAGCAAATAAACGAAAATTTGTGTGTAATATTTTAATTAATTTCTTGTACATGTATTTAGTTGTAATTTCTTCAACAATTGCTTCTTGTTCCAGGGCGTTCGGATAAAAGAAGTGTCAGAAGGAAGACCATGTGACAACTGTCCGGAGTTATGCCCCGGATTCATACCACATGCTTGGAGGTAAGTTGACAATACAATATAGAACAAGGAAACTGTATCTTTATCATCGGACCTTGGTTCATCGAAGGCCCTGGAGTGTTTATGGCGTGTATCTCGTGCATACAAATTGATGAAATGTTTTCTCATCTGCCTATCTGTACCATTGACATGTAGAGCTATCAGTCTTCCGTTGTCGGTTCATGTTGACTAAGTTTAGTTTAGTATTGTGATGCCTTTGTTCCTTTTGTCGTCTGTCGTCGTCACGTTGGCAACACTTTACTTCATATTTGGTTCACAATGATTGGGAGTCATGCCTGCGACATGCTGCCTAATTTAAACGTTTCCTTACGCAAGCCCTTGTTAGACGTTATAAAGAGAAACTGTGAATTGGCACAGATTCCACCTTAGTGTTGCTTATACTATATTATAAAGAACTATCAATAAGATTTATAGTTATCTTAAATAAAATTTAACAAACACATTTATAACCAAAATCTGAACATAAATAAACTATGTTTCGATTACTTTATTGCAATTATTATCAAAGTCAATAAATAATACAGATAACGTTTAAAAACGGCTAGAACCATTACACTATCAAACCGCTGTGACCCGGTCACAGATAGCTTATCAACAATCGTTCACGCCACGCCAACGAACGTGATCGAAATCAACTAACGAGCGGATAATCAGCCTTGTGGTAAGGCCAGCGCGTGCGCCGCGCATCATGAAAAATGTCCACTCTTGCTCCCGCGGCCATACAGAGCAGACGTGTCGCGCCCTAAAACCGAACAAGCTAACAATGTGTCTTTCATTGAAACAATTGGAGTGGGCGGATGTGTACAGGCGCATCACAGGCTCAGATAAGGAGCCGGTGAAAGAGAGAAAGATTCAAAAGTTCCCATCGAGGGAGCGAAACTATGCTGTGAAGAGGAAGTTTAACAATAACATGAGGTCTCACGTTAACTGCGAAAGTTGCGCGCGAGCCGCTGAGAAAGAAAACAGGTGATCGTGACGTGTATGTGCCTGCGAGTGTACAGGGTTCAGTGGATCTAAGGATCGATGTTGTTCGTGAATACAGTGTGTACCCGAACTATAGTGATGACAAAACTCTCAAAAACTAAGTGATATTATTATTTATAGAGGCTATTAATAGCCGGTGCAAAGTACGAAGAACTGGCTTTGTTGCCTCGTCTCGGAAGTTCTAAAGTTGGTGCTGAATCCTTTTTGCTCAACGTCATTCCAAGTTTTGTTGTTTTTGCTCAAAATGTATTTTCTAAAATAACTTTGTGTCGCCAGCAAAGATCCATTGTTTGAATATTTTAGATGCAAGATGTTGGCGAGGGGAGATTTTAATAATGGTAATGAGCATTTTGTTTAAAGTTACAAGGCTTATGTTAATATAAGAAGCCTGTGAGACAAAAAGAACCTTAGTCTGATTACCAAAGAGTTTATTTTTGTTAATAAACTATTTGTAAAGATGTAATCCTCAAAACTTGCCATTTATTCTGTTGAATACTTGGCTAATGTTTCATGATTAATAACATGTATCGTTAGTTTCCATACAATGTGTGTTATCAACAGTATTGTAAGTAAAACGACCCCGGATGTTGTTAGTGCATTGAATTCTGTGACTTGTCGACTGTTAACATGGTTTAGAATTGTATGAATGTCATTGAAAATACAGGTTTCAAAGTTTAGCGTTTTGCAAAAAAACTGAGAGACTGTTTTGAAATTTGTGCGACATAGCTCCTCTGTTTTTTTATGTGGTGAGGTCTTAAGTGGAACCAATTGAGATTGTATTACTTCGTAAACTATAGCTACCTACATCTACATATATCTATAAATACATAAGTTCATAAGTTCAATGGATTGTTTTATTTCTGTCCTTATCTAATCTGAACGTAATGGCTCTCACTCACATTACGATAATTAGTAATACAATAACATTAGTTATATCATTGTGGGTTTGTTTATTTTTGTAATCTATAATATAAAAATGAATCGCAAAATGTGTTGGTAAGCGCATAACTCTACAACGCCTGGACCAATTTGGTCAATTCTTTTTTTAAGATGTTCGTTGAAGTCCAAGAATGGTTCTTACGGCGTTACAAAAAATCGAATAATTGCCGGTAAAACCCTAAAAACAGCCCTTTTCTTTTTCACGTTTTCACGAAGGACGAAGTCTGTCGGGTCAGCTAGTGATATATAACTATAACTTATTGCGTATTTGCTGTGTTTGTAAACAATACTAATGATTAAGAAGACTTTACATTCAGAGACTTGAGATTTTGTTTTTGAAGATATTAATCATCATCGTCAGATGTGTTGATAGCTTAAACATATGTTTGTATGTTCCAATTTAAGTGAAAACTTATAAGGCTAATTTGTTAGGCCGAATTCATACAACCGCTTCGAAAAACAAACGTAGAGTAACACTTGTAAGTTTAGTTAAGTATATTCTGAGGTCGATACTTATATCCATATCAAATTGTAACATTAAAAAAGGCGAGCATTTTTCAAATCATCAATCATAAGAAAAAACCGTGTTTATTTCCAAACATCAATCATGATTGAAATATACAAATTACAGAGTTGAAAAACGTGATCCTGACATTCTTCTGACAAATAATGCGTTTGGAAAAAACATCGGGTAAAAACAGACATACGATTTTTATACTTATTATATTACCTATATTTATATATTTTGTCATTTGAATTGCCCATTAATTAATTCAGCCATGTTTTATAAGCCGGTTCTGGTCATTGCACTATAAAAATAATAATGAATATGGTTGGGTTGGATGGTATTTGAATGAGTGGTCAAGTGTGTTTTTTTTTTTTCATTTAAATTGTTTTGAATATCCTTTCAAATTATATGTAGACTTACTTACGTCACGTTATTTATCTTATTCTTGAAATTTTTTCACACTTAGGTAGGTATATGTTTACAAAAACAACTTGAGTCATATGTTTTTGGTTTACGTTTTGCTCTTGTATTAAGGAAACGAAGATAAGACAACTTAAACAGGTTTAAATTGGAAGCGGCAGTGTCAGACTCTTATTGACTAAAAACTCCTCAGAGCCAGCTCATTCGGTTTGTGGCAGGACGTTCAAACACTTTTATAATTCCCATCATCATCGTGTGCCTGATTTCATCCACCGCTGAACATAAGCCTCCCCAATTGCACGCCACTGCGCTCGATGTTCAACTCTTCTCATCCAACCACTGCCAGCCACCCCGCGGATATCGGTCAGTCCACCATTTTTTGGCACTGGGAAAAATGCTATTACGCATACGTTTCTCATCGGAGGAAGGGAGAGGGTTATGTGGGACTCTCCGGTAAGTTCCCAGTATACCCACTAAAAACCAAGTGGCACTCCGGCCTCGTCTGTGTTGAGGGTCGTCAGATTGCGATGCAGAGAGACTAAAATTCCAAATTATTTATCAAAGTTCGTAGCATGAGTTCATGACAAGAGGTCCTATAAAAATATTATATACTAGCTATTCTGGTGCGGTTTCACCCGCTGTTCAGCTCCTATAGATCGTAGTGCGATGTTTTATAGCCTATAGCACTCAGGAATATAGTTATCTATCAGTGAAAGAATTTTGGAAATCCGACCAGCGCGGCAGCGGTTCCAAATATTACACGCTAAATACAAACTTACAAATTTTACCTCTTTATAGACAACGTATATAAACTACAACATAATGTAGGTAATATTAAATGTGTCAATTGATTCACAGCTAGAAGTTGAAGCGACAACAGCAGTTGATAGAGTGCGATGAGGTCAATTCGCGGTATCAAGTCAATATTTATTGTTGAGAGCTAACAATGAATGACTACAACATCCATAGCACAAAGGAATGCACTTTGAACATTTGAATGCAGACACGAATTCATATAGAATTATAAATAAGTAACTCTGATAGCGGTTTTTATGTGATAGGACGGCAAACGAGCAGACGGATTACCTGATGGTAAGCAATCAGCGTCGCCCATGGACACCCACAACAAAGAAGGAGTGCTTTGCCGACCTTTTAGGGATTGGGATTTTGGGGATTTAGGGATTGGGAAGGGATTGGGCCTCCGGTAACCTCACTCACACGGCGAAACACAACGTTGTGGTTGTTTCACGCCGGTTTTCTGTGAGGCCGTGGTATAGCTCCGGTCGAGCCGACCCATTCGTGCCGAAGCATGGCTCTCCCACACTTAAATGTTTTTTCTGCAGTATCTTTAGTCTGATTTTGGAGAAAAATTCATTTCGACTTGTTCTATAGGTTTTATGAGAAAGAGTAACCAACGATCAATACTTGGAAATTTTCAAGTTTATAACATTAGTGGGAGGTTTCTCATCTCCAACGTTTTTCTACAAAATATCTATTAGACTGAAGGTCTGTCAAGGTCGCACAGATCTTAAATTGGTGACGTATTCTATGAATTCAGTATAATTAGTGGGAAATCACAAATTCGTGTATCCTATTGTCCTTTTTTCGTCAAAATCATATTATTATAAAGTCTTAACAACAGAGACAGTCAGACAACATTTTTAGGATGAAGATTGGGGATTGGTGCCCTGAGTGCGATTCAACTTGTATATCCTGACGACAATAACTATATGTTACGAACAAAATAAGATGCAAGGCCACGCATAGGGTCCGTATTCAAAAACATTGCCCCAGAAATAGTAAGGCCGGCAACGCATTTATAACTCCTATGCCAGAAGAGATTGAGCGTCGACAGGTGACGCTGATCATGAAAATACTAATGTGGGGCAAATTTAAAAAAAAATTGTCACTCCAAACTAGTAGACAATCTTATGTCAACGTGGAATATTGAACAAATATAAGACAAGTTCTAGGGAATTCTAAGCAGTGGAAGTAAATAAAGAGGATAATAAAATAACAAAGTATGTATTGTTGTAAGCATTAGATTGTATTGTAAACAGTCCATTATGACTAAATGACCTTTATACTCAAGTAAATAAAATTAACTTTAGTTTACATATAGATATTCCTGTTTACACAAACATTGGGATCGTTTACAACTTCATGAGATTCCATAAGAAGTTTTTAGCTCAAAGGTTGGATAAATAAATGTCATAAATCGGGCAAACTTTAAAAAAAATCGATTGATATCTCTGAATAAAGCATAATGGTATACAAAAAAACCATTAAATACGAAACTTGGGACGAAGTATTTAATTCATAATTATATAAAATATATAGGTATAATATTTAGTGTCCAAAGTTTTGAAGGAACAGATAATGGTCGCGTTATCTAAGGTTATTGACCAACTTATTGCGTGTATAATTATGACTGCGTAACGTGTTATGTCATTAGCAGAACTCAGTTTGTCTATCGTATGTAACAGTACTATTACAAAGAAGGCAGGAAAAGGTCTGTTCTTATTAACCGTTGCTATGAATATATAGTCCAGTAGGAAAAGGATCCTCGTCACGTTTATTTCATTGCCAAGCAAGAAGTCTGAACCTGATACCTTGAATTCAGGAGTCGTCTTACAATTTCTGGTTATTCAATCCTCAAAGTTATTTAAATTATACATAACTAGCTACTCTTGCGCGGTTTCATCCGCTGCTCGGTTCGGGTGATGTTTTGTAGCCTATAGCACTCAGAAACATTGTAGCTATCTATCAGTGAAAGAATTTTGGAAATCCAAAACCAGCGAGCGGTTCCAAAGATTACCCCCTACATACAAACTTACAAATTTTACCTCTTTATAATATTAGTATAGAAGTATATAAAGCATAATGTTTTGTTCCACGAAGAAACAGAGATTGACTCTAAATATCCTACCATTATCCTCCTATGACTCTCAAGTAACGGACCCTTATGCATCACATTGTTACAATAGATTTTTAATCAACCATCAATCACTACACACGTTATTTGTATGTATTACTAACCGCCATTGTTCTTCTTATGGTTTTGGAAAGAACATCTTCAAAGTTCCGTTTGGTTGATGTCTTCCTTGATTCGTAAGTCA